AATAGAAGTGACAGTAGAGAATTTACCGTGGTGAGTCACAGTGTTCTTTGAATATGACAAATTATCGAAAAACTTCATTTTTTACTTACTTCTGTGAAAATGTGAAAATTGAGCTATGTTCATTTATCGACCAATTGTCATGAAATTTTGTCTAGATCATTTTTTTGGCAGAAAATTAAGTTTCCCAAAGTTTCACGACGATCGGATTAAAAATAAAAAATTTGAATATGACAAATTATCGAAAAACTTCATTTTTTACTTACTTCTGTGAAAATGTGAAAATTGAGCTTTGTTCATTTATCGACCAATTGTCATGTAATTTTGTCTAGATCATTTTTTTGGAAGAAAATTAAGTTTCCCAAAGTTTCACGACGATCGGATTAAAAATAAAAAAATTCAATATGACAAATTATCGACAAATGTCATTTTTTACTTACTTCTGTGAAAATGTGAAAATTGAGCTATGTTCATTTATCGACCAATTGTCATGAAATTTTGTCTAGATCATTTTTTTGGCAGAAAATTAAGTTTCCCAAAGTTTCACGACGATCGGATTAAAAATAAAAAAATTCAATATGACAAATTATCGACAAATGTCATTTTTTTCCTGATTTTTGTAAAAATGTGAAATTTGAGCTATGTTAATTCATCGACCAATTGTCATGAAATTTTAAACATCAAAACCAATTTTTTCTATTCGTAACATCAAAATCAATTTTTTTTATTCGTAACATCGTAAAAAAGCATTTTAAATTGAAACACACGGCAAGAAATTTTTCAAAATTTAATTCCAAAACAAAATTTATTGAAGTGTAACACGCCGTGTAAAAATAGAGAGAGTAAAAATATATTTACAATAACAATTCCCATGAAACTATTATATACTATGCTGTAACGAAAAACCATTTCCTCATTGAATATCAGGCCAATACGCTTGACTTTGTGTGACTGTCTCCATCTCCGAATTGTTCTGATTGGGTTCGGTGGCGACTGATTGGGTTGGGTTCGGTGGCGTACATGGATTCATTGACTTACCGATATTATTGTTTACATTTGAAAGTTCATTGGTGAAAAATGAAGTTGTGTTTGTCATCGCTTCCATGGAATTTGGTAAGAAGATACCGTTTGTATTTGGAAATGGATCGGGATCAGCTGAGATGGTTGTTGATTGGGTATATGAAATTGCTATGTTTCCGTTATAACCATCGTTATATTGGTTATGCAAAAATCCATCCGAAGTTGGTAAACAGTTATGGTTCCATCCATTGGGGTCAATTGTATTATTTTCCAACTGTTTACTCGGGTTCAATGACTCGTTCATATTGTTGTTGTCTGTCATGGGTAGCATATTAGCGTCAAGTTCCATTGAATCTATAATGACATTCAACATATTTGTATCAATTGAATTAAATTCATTGGATGTTTCTATGTCTGAAGTTGGTAGCACATCTCTGCCCGATGCAATGGTATCATATTCCTTCGCAATTGTTACATCATTCGTATTGATATTGTTTATAGTTTGAAGTCCAATGGAATTTTGTGGAAACGCCTCAGTCTCCGTTACCATGTTGGAACTTGGTGCTTGGTTATTGTATAAGTTGCTTGTTGATGCAGTTTGTAGCGACACATTTGAATTGACTGATTTAACAGCGAATGGATTTATATCGCAGTGACCTTCTGCTGGTGGACTATTTATGGCGATGAAAAATCAATTGAATTAAAAACAAAATGACCATTTTTTTTAAATAAATGAAATGGTGTGATATAGCATGTGGTGTGATAAAGCATAAAGTTACCTCTGATCAAACAACGTGACGAATCTTTTGAATAGTACATTATATCCATTTTTTGATTTTTCGGTATTATCGCTCGTGAATGTGAATGCTTCTTTCTTTTCAATGATCTGGCCATCAAAACAATAAACTTGGCCCAATTCACTTATTTCGCGTATTATATCGCCAACGGTTAGATTTTCAGAGCTTTTTGAGTTTTTGAAGTCGTCTTTTGTAATCGGACCAAGTTTGACGATATTCTTAGAACCATCATTTGTAGTGGGTGATATCGCTCCTAATTTTTTACCAAAATAAAAAATACATTCGAATTGAGTACACAAAGTGTTAAGAGAATTATCGCACAATAATTACCCAGAGTGGAATCAGAAAAGCGTAACAAAAATACTTTCTTTGTGTGAGAATAATTGTAAAGTATTTTTTTGGTTTCATCCTTGCTAATGAAACCAACGATTCTGCCCTTTCTCCATTCCTCACTAAGGTAGTCTCGTATTAATTTCTACACCGGTGAATTGAACAATTTGGAAAATATTTAGAAATGTTTTGAAATTGAATATTACGGTGGTTACACATACCAATGCAGCGAACAACCATTCCCAATGTGTAAATTTTGCCTTTGGATCCTTCCTTTGGAATAATTCAGTCCTCGATATTTCACGATTGTATTGACGACTCCCTTCCGCAGATGTTCCGCACCATTTTTCATCTACAAATTATTTGAATGAATTTTACATATTTTCACATAAATTTATATAATTTCATCGACTTACAAATGTATCTTTGGTTTTCACTGCTCAAAGTATGTCCAGTTTCCATGAATAAAGAGTTTATAATATCTTCGAAATCTGACCAAAAGACCTTATTCCTATGATAAAATTCGGAACCGTCGTATTTACGGTGCATTTCATCCCAGAGGATCGTTGCCTGAGCGGATGCCTCTTGGCTGGAATTTGAAATAGCCGTAATTGACAATGATGTCAATTCCAAAGTTGCATTCGGCAAATTAGACACAGGAACAGGTTGTTTAGGTTTGGCTTCCATTTGAAATTCTAAACTCAATTTAAGAGTATACTTTTCATCCAATACAGTATCATTTTCACGCGTACGCTGTAAATTCTTTAGTTTACACGTCAAATGAAAGTGGCCCTGTTTTTCTGTTGTAAACTTATTAATATCGATGTATCCACATCTTCGTTCCCCTGAAAAAAAAAAAAAAAAAAAAAAAACATTAACAATTCTTTTACAAAAATTGACGATTATTTAAATTATGAAGCATTCAAAAACATTATGAGAGCACTTTGCTTGTTAAGATTACGTGATTCCCATTAAAAGTGATAATATTTTTAGCTATTCTATTTGTTGTTCTTTAGATTTCACATAGTCCCTTCTTTTTATCCATCTAAAAAAATAAAGAGGCTTACATATGCAAGCTAACTTTTTAGCATAGAAACCTGGGTTGGAAAATCTACACGATTTTTAAAAAAAAATGTAATTTACGTAGAATATGTATACTCCACATTTTCTACAATACATTGTAGATTATTCAAAAATTCAAAATTACCACTCAAAACATTCTCCGAATTTGGTGAATGAAAGACATGTGTTTCTATTGAAAAGATTTGTTATGTTAAAAGTCCAATAGATACATTCTCAATAAAAATTACCATAAAAATTCCATACAATTTTCGGTATTTTGATACAATTTCTGGTGGTTTTACTATATTTGTTAGCCAAAATTGAATTTACAAAATGTAGATTATGTATCAAAGTAATCTACATACCAACCCAGATAGAAACCGAAATTTTGGGAATAAACTGAAACAAAATGCAATAAATCTACGTTGTTTATTTTTTTGGCCTAATACAATACCTTTCCCATCTCTGGTGTGCTGAAGAGCAATACTTCAAAATAAAAACCGTTCATATTTGAAAACGTAAATCTTTTTTCTTCTTTCATATGAAAAACAAACGAATTATCCAAAAATAAGGCACACTTACGTAATTTTGTTAGTCGTAAAAAACTATATACGATTCGATAAAATAATGTAGAATATCCAAAAAAAAAAATTACCTGAAAATAGATCCAATGTTCCAGTTACAATCTTTACTCCGGGCATCAACGCTTTCAAAACCAAGTTGAAGCTACAAATTGCAAATGATTTAATTGGATATTTCTTTTAAATTCATACCGAATTACAGAAATGGCATAAAACTTACTTTGAATCTTTATATTTAATAACTCTTGGATGGTGTTTTATGACGAAACATTTTGCGAAAATCTGATTAAATAGGCTATGCATCCGTTCCAATTCGTTCTTGAAGCTATTTTTGGTATAGCGTTCCAACTTTTTTATCAATTCACAATTGGCTAAAATGATTGAAGTCAATTCACTGAACCATGTTTGAAAGTCATCAAGAATAGATGGATCTTTGTAAAGTGAATCATCACAATTCCAAACGTGTATTTGCCGAAGAATTGTATCTAAGAACAATTTATTAAGCGATTCTGCTACTTCTTGTAATCCGGCGACAAGTCCCAAATACATATTTTTTCTTACTAAATCATTTTTTTCCTTTGGGAGCTCCACATAACAATTGATGTTTTCTTTGTGTAATTTTTTCAAGCCACCAATTCGGTTGTAAACGCCACGAGTTTCGGGATTTCTATAGTTTTCATTGGGCGTCTTTTCCTTTCCATTAAGCGATAATCTCAAAAATTTTCGCATCTCGTATGATTTAGGTTGATAATTGATTGTTTAACTAATGTCGATACAATAATTGATAATTTCATAAAAAATATGAAAAATACACAACAACTGCAACAAATCAAACTAAAATGGTATAAACAAAGTATTTCTTAAATTTTGAAACAAAAAATGCAAAAAAACGTGCAAAAAAATTAAATTTAAGAAGACATTTTGTGATATAAAATGAAATGCGGTTTAAAAACGGTTTCTCGTGCGAGCGGAGCAAATCAAAAATATTTTAGCTTTGAATGTGACTAGCTTTTATGTACACTCTTTTGAAAAAAGAGACGAGAAAACACACAATCTCGTTTTTTGTCATTTATTCAGCGATAAGCAAGAAGATTGTGTTTGGATTTTTTTTGCAAATTAACGAGATATTTTACCAGCGACTCTTTTTGCACATAACAACAAGAGAAATGCTTCGTTCTGATCAATGATGTATAAACTTGACGTTTGACACACTTGTCAATTATTTGATTGGATGGAATTTTACTTGAAATATAATTTAAATGAATACCAACATTATTTTAATAACCCATGCAACATAATCTTATCTTACCTATAAAGATGGTTTTTGAATTTAAAAATAATATTCAAGCGTTCCAGGTGACTTTTTAAAATGTAGAAGTATAAGATTTCGTTTTTTTTGCCGTTATATACCAGCCATGATACCACCACATACATCTATCACATTTTATCATATTGCCGATATCAATGGTTTCAATGCATCACTAATCGATTAGATGGCATTCAAAGAAACTCAAACTTGATGACATGATCACTTTTTGTTTTTACAAAAACGTTCATTACTTTCAACATACACTCAATCAATAGGTCAATTTCGACCAATAAAATACTAAACAATATTTGTAACAATATGTTATTTTTGAACTTGATACTATAACACTTACCCTTAGGCAAATAAATTGAACTTTAAAATGTTGAACTTGTTTGTTTTACCTTGCGCCATTCAAACAAGACTATTTTTTGAATATTCAAAACTAACAAAAAACTTGCTACATACGAATTACGAATAAAAAATTCACTGAATATACAAACTTATTATGAACACGAGATAACAGAGATCAGCCACAATCAGTGTGTGTAATTTTGAACAATCAGATACATTTCGAATGATCGTTGTTGTGACGAAAGAAAATGCTCTAAATGTGAGGAAGACCACTCTGAGGAGATGGAGAAGCACAGAGCCTCTTTTTAGTGAATAGCTAAGAAAAGTAATTAAAATTGATAATCGCTCTAAGAAACAAACGCTGAAAATAACAGACTTTGAATATGATTTAAAACACATAACGACTTTAAGTCACATTTAAAACAATTATCAACACTTACCGCCCCAAGTTAACACACAAACATAACCGACTGTTGTTCAAAATGTGTGATAGATTTTTGATCGATTGTACCAATTGTTACGTGTATAATTGTTTTTTATTAATTACAATCATATTAATTTGTATACAATCGCAGCAACAATTTTGAGTCAGAATGGTGTCGAAATTAGTGACAGTATTTTAAAACACAATTTGTAAGTCATTTTCATCGTATCTTTGCAAGATTCCTATAATTAAAAATTAATTGATTTTGCTTACTGACTTTCTTACTGGATATTTTCAAATGTCACATATTTCGGACAAGTCTTTTATTGGCATCACATCTTTATATTTGAATTCGTATACATGTTCTTATTTAAAAACAGTTCAGTTCTTCACTAATAGCTACTAAATAATTCTGTGTTGCGATACTGTCAATGCATATATTATTTCTATAATTGAAACTTCCAATGGTGAAAAAAGTTTGACAAAACTTGAAGATCATCAAATAATTTAAATAAAACTCATCAAGCATATGTTTGATAAAACAAATTAGTATCGCTCTTCCATTTAGAGTGTCCATACAAAATAGTGAATAATAAAGAACCATCAAGTAGAAAATGTTTGATATTTATCAATTCTTGTGAATGTAATTCTGAATGGTATGGATACTCGGCCATATATATATATATACTTCCGTCATTCAGTTCAAACAATATCTCGGACGCACAACACAATTTTGACTTATCTTTTTTTACTTTTAAAAGTGAAAAGATGCTGAAATCAACATCAACAGTTCATTATTCAACAGTCTAATAAGATACAAGCGGTTATACCCTTAGAGAGGTTTTGACAGATCTACAACATGCAATGACTATTTATTATATTATATTACAATACAAAATAGTTTTCAAAAAAGAAAATCGTTTTCAAATCATCATAAACCGAATAAGTCGGAATCTCAAACGATGACATTATTATTTAACTTACTATATGCGGTTGCTCAAACAGAAATGATTAAACTCACTTCTCCAGCCGAATACGTATATATTAGATTCTACATTAAATATGCTGCGTATTCATTTGTAATAGTTCATGAAGATCAGTAATGATCAACATTTAAAACAGATTTTCCCTCAGTGCTGCTGCCATCCACAGCATAAAAACATACCTGGCAGAGGATGCGTAGTCCTTTGTAGCGGCTTACACCTCTCACCGAAAAACAGTACATGCACTGTCCTCTTCACGATTATATGACTCAAAAAACACACGAACGAAAGAGAATACTCTTTTACAGAAACGCGAAGAGGTTGATCATTCGCTGTGCTGTGTAAACTTATCGAACCGCATTCTCAGCAAGGTGATTTGTTATGCTGTGGATGGCAGCAGCGCTGAATGAAACTCTCATTTAAAAAATATCGCCCAATAAAAAAAGAAATATTTTTATTGAAAAAGAGAATAGCATTCGTGAAGCTTATTGAAGAATATTGAAAGTTTAAAAAACACACTCCGTTTCCTCTTTCTAAGATTTGAAATCAATTTCCGCATTTTCAATTCTGAATTAAAATTGAATTTTTCGATTCAACCTTTTTTATGATAACGTTATATAAAATACAGAATGTGTGTTTGTTATCAGCATTAAAACAAAAAATGAATTCTCAAAACGAGAACCTTTTTTGCCCAAGCTGTTATGCAAGCCCTGATATTTTGACCGGCCGCACAAAACGCGTCTTTAGTAAATAATTTTCAATACTTAACGACTCGTACATAATAGCACACATACATTCGGCGCCCTATTACTATTGGAATACATATTGTATATCAAAGTTGAGAGACATGTCCGAAAGTCATTTAGTAGAATACCAAACGAAACGGCGGACGGTTCGTTTGCGCTGTACACTCAACCAAAGTGATCATTTCACATGGATTTTTTTCATGTACTGATCAATTTGATTGAAAGTGATGAAATTCTGTTTTACATTCAGAATTTCAGAATGTCAAAATTTAGTTCGAAAATAGTCAAATTATATTTTTTAATTTTTTCATGTGAGATTTAACAAAATATTGGGAAAAAAATTAATAGAACGAAATTTAAAAAAACTATTAGCACTATTAACACTTTGTTGTTTGATTGCGTACAAAAATGATCTGAAATGAAACGAAATGATATCAATTCGTTGAAATGAATTGGGTTTTTACCATTTTATTTCAACAACAATATTATCTAGGAGTATTACCAAGCATCGCATGTTGTGCCATTTCGGGTAAAAAGTAACATAATCATTCACAAGGGGTGGTTTTAGCATTTTATTTCAATCTTAAAGCGTGAGGATAAGATATTCGTCTCTTAAACAGGATAAACATCGCAAAAACGTTTATCGATAAGTTGAAAAGCTCAGCGGAAGCAAACAACTTGAAAAATATATTCGTAAAAAACAAATAGAAACAAATGAATATTGAGCGAAAGTGTAATAAGCCTACTTGTTTGCCTTTTGATCTGTTTTCAAGAACAAAATTCAAACAAGTAGGCTATTCCACTTTTGCGCTCATTACTAATTTGTTTCTTTTTTGCGCTCAGAAATGTTCTGTGCGTTCTTTTAGCAATATATTTTTCTATTTATCTTTTACGAATATATTTTTCAAGTTGTTTGTTTCCGATGAGCCTGTCAGTTTAATCTTAATTGAAATCATCTGGTCGTTTCGCTTGTAAATAAAACATCTAAATAAAACTGCAATCGGTCTTGATCTCGGTTTGTTTTCTTTTATTTATCGTTAAAATAAAATTAAATTTCAATACAATATCAATTTAAAACAATGAAAATTATCGCATGTATGCTATTTCGCGTAGTTTTTGCAAATATCCGTGGCAAATGCTGTGTCACAAACTAAACGTTTTGAAACCCCTAACGCATTATGAAATATGGCTGTTACATAGTCAACCTGAAATCAAACCCAAATGATATTTACTCTCGTGAATCAATATAGTAACTTTTTCGCAATAGAATAAAAGTACTTACCACTTTTCGTCCAGCGGGCTCATCGGATAGTCCAGCCGATGCATTGTTTATTGCTTCTTCAACTTTCAACACAGACAGTTCATCGGATAACAAAAGCGGTGTCTCTTCCAATGTCATATTCCTTCCAGACGATTTAAGTTCAACAGCCCTCTCATGATACTTGTCAAATAGGGTGACAGCAGTTTCGCTTGTTTTATACATATCATCTCTAACTGATAACGTCAATACGGTCGCCTGAAAATGAAGCAAGAAATTTGATATTTTCATTTTCATTGAAATAATGATGAAATACTCACAAAATATGAAACTCTTTCTAATTCGGTCAAATTCGGAGATTTCATTTTCTTAAACACTTCAGTCAAATCATTCAGCTTTTTTGCATCCAAATCAGGAACAGTTCGTAAAGTTTCAAATATGTCAAAGACCGTCTTTTCACTTGAATATACCTAAAAAGATAGCACACCATTTAACCGATTAACAAAAGGAAAATGTACTTCACACAACTTCACACAAACCTGAACAAACGCAATGGCGCTGAGCAAGAAAAATACCTTCATTTTTTCAACGATTTATGTGCACGCTTACAAAATAACTTTTCAACTGTAATATTTGAATCATGATCATCTTTAAATAGCGAGTTACAATTCATCTGCATTTGACATTTATTTATTTACACCATTTTTGTGCATTGTGGACGTGCTAATGTCGACATGAAATGTTCGCAAAAAATGCTAAAGACATATCAATAACACTACAACTTTATTTACTCCATTTTTTTTTTTGGTTTTCCGTAACACAATAAAAACGATAAATAAACGTTTGTTACGGTAAACAACATCGAGAAACAATAAACATGTCCAATTGTCTATTTATTTATTTAAAAATTATCTGCAGTTAGCAAAAAAATTGGCCACTCCGAATTTTCCCTTCGTTATTTTAATTCAAATATCACAAATGTTGGGAATACTTCTTTATTGTTGTATGGCGATGATAACGTTCTTAAAGATGATTCCTGCACTTCCGGCCGAAAAATGTAATGGAAATAGTAAATAATTGTGTCGTTTCACACAAAATATAATGGGATGTCTTATGAATGAATTATGGTGCTATACACTTTTTCATGATTAAAAATCCACCATAGATCATTTCACAGACATTTTCTTTGCTACAAAACATAAAAATACAGCCAATTCTTAACAATTGGAACAATTGAATTCAATGCAATTTTCGAAGTTCCACACCATTTACATGAAAATTGCCGATACCTTCGCGGTGCCTTTAACAACTCTGAACCGACTTTTCCAAACTCTTTTGTTAAACTCTCAAAAGAGTATTGGGACATACATCTTTTCACGATTTCTGGTTTTCTTTTCTTTTTCAATATGTTCGTATCGATTCCAAATAAAACTGCCAAATAGAAATTTCGTTTGTTCAGATATTTATTTATTAGCTCTTTTTATTTGTCATTAAAATAGATATGATTTTTTTTGTATTTTATAATAAATGTTTTTAATTAAAAATACGTTTTGCTACTTAGCTCCAATCATATGAAAAATTTTCGGATTAGTCGATGTCTCCGGCCTGTATATGATGCACTTATTGTTTGTCTCTTCAAATGATGAATACTATTTTATGGCAAATAAAGATACATTTCACTATTGAATAAACTGAGCGATTATTGAATTTGGAGCAAAATAGATGGAAATATTGGATGGCAAATGGGCGGTTTCTAATTTCAACTTTAACGAACAGTACCTACTGGGGCGCTACAATTCTGACATTTAATTTTGCATGTCAGAGAACTATGAGTGAGAAATAAAAAAGAACACGATTATAATTATTATTATGGTTATAATAATAATTTATTCCGTTGCGTTGACAACATCAAGCACCAAAGTGGTTAGACAACATAAAAAAAAATATTTTTGCCACGCACAATTTTTTTTGTTTCGTTTAAAAATGTTGCAATTTTGATTATTAATGCTAGTTTTAAAATTCAATTTTTATGAGATGTTTTATTTGTTTTTTTTTTTTCTTCTCATATTCACAATCCGTTTTCGATAAATTAAACATTAATTTAAATTTTTGTAAAAAAGAGACAAATTCGAGTGTGTTTAAAAACTAGAAAATCGATTTTGAGATGATGAAAACATAGTACACATCGATATATTCACACAAAATGTCTGACTCGAATTTGATACGTGGCAAGTATTCAGGAGGCCCTTTATTCACAACTTAATATAGTTTCTATATATGAACGACTTATCGTGTGAAAGAAAAAATGCAGGAAAGGAATACATGGTTTAAATTCAAAAAAGCATTTTTGATTATATCGAGCCATAGCTTAACTGGCTATCTCTCTCTCTCTCTCCATTACAAATATACTGCAATATATTCGGATATTTACATACATTTTTTTCAGTTGTTAATGTCTTTCTTTGTCATTCTCTTCAAAATTCATCGTGTGCGTGTCTATTCAATGTGAATATGAGTGAGGTTAGTTGTTCTTTTTCTCTTTTTTTTCAATAAATTAATATACTATATATATATTTCATTTCATGTTTAACGCTTAAAATCTGCAGAATTGCGCTTGAATGCGCAGGGCCCTTTCATTATAGCGCCATATTGTTTCTTTTTTTTTTTTAAATACTACACATATCCCAATTCGTTAAAGGAACATATTAATGCACTCGGTGTGTCTGTGTTATACAATATAATGAATTAAATAATAATAAAAAATATCAGTGTTGTATTTTTTGTTGTTGTTGCTTAGTGATGAAAATTTTAGTTGTGACTCTTCCTTTCACGTTGTCTTTTATTTTGTTCGTTTGCAATAATACTGCATTTCTACTTTTAAGTGATCGAAAGAAACAGGAAGTATTCGGTTCTCTTTCTCTCCCTCTCTCTATGTTGTGAGAATTTATAGCATTCCGGGTACGCCTTGATGCTGTAGCATCATATTATTACGTGATCTTTGCTGTTCAAGTCGTTGTATTGCTGCTGTTAATTGTGAATTCTCCACATACAAATCCTTTACAAGCAAATCAGAATTTGTCAATCGTTGCGCTTGCTCATTGATTATTATGACTTGAGTCTCAACGGTACCACGAAGTTCATTGATTTCAGTACGTTGCTGCTGCCACGATTCTGTTATTGGACGACAATGGAATACATTTGATTTTTTTTTTATCTCATTGATTGAGTTTATTAGAATGAAATTGCTATAAAACACTTACGTTGCATAATCGATTCGGTGTACTGTTGTTGTTGCTTTAGGCAAAATTGTAAATGACGATTTTTTTGCTCCAATTGTTGAATGCGCTGTATTAAGCTGGGATGCGGCGTTCGCTTTTGTTGAACATGAAAACAAAATTTAAATAATCAGAATTTAAATGCTTGGATTAAAAAAAAAAAACTCTGATAATAATTGCGAAAAGAGAGTGTAAAAATAGAAGGAAGTGTATGTGTAAAACATGTAGTTATTTACCGCATACGCTGCAGCCAGCATCGGTTTTGCCTCTTGTAATTGCTGTAATTCCATCACCAAACCATCACGTTGATGTGCTAAGCCTTTAACCTCATCGTTCAATTGGATTTCAATCAATTTCAACCGCTTTATATCTTCACGTATCATGTTCGGACTAGTACTAATGATTTCAGGTAACGATCGATGTCTAATCACGGAAAAAATTCATCGAAAAAAATAATAATTAAAAAATTTAAATTTGGAACCAAGTGCAGCGGAAGACTTACATGCTATGTGTTGAGGCAACACTGTGTGTGCCGAAACTTCGAAGCGATAAAACATCGTCCAAAATTTCGGTGGTATTATCGATGGCATTTTCGTTATTTTCAACAACGGTATTCTTGAGTGTGGTAGTTGCGGCTGATGGTGTATGTGGTCGGCAAATTGGTGAGATTATTGTATTTTGAACGGTATCATCGTCGATCGGTGCAACGGTAGCCACTGTATCATCATTCGTTTTATTACTATTTGTTCGATTCCAATTTGGATTTTGATAGTCACGTGTTGGAACTTGAATTGTACTCTGATTCCATAAATAGCTAATCGGTGAACTGGCCACACTTTCGCTGTCCGATGTTTTAATTCGTTGTTGTGAATTTGTATGCTGGTCATGTTGGCCTGCATTTGGATAGCATAAACGTTCTTCAAGTTCTTTAATTTTTGCCTGTAATTGATCGATTTCATGTGTTTTTGCTTCGAATATTTTGCGAGCATGTTCACGGAATTCTTCAGTTTCCGCCTCCAAATCGGCATATTGTTGTTCAAGTTGGCATTTCTCTTCGATAGGCGTGAGTCGGCCATCTTTATCCGATGCGGATGTTGTGAATTGTTCTTCATATTCGGTCATTTTTTTCAAAAGTTCCGTGAATTTTTCATCGCTAATACGTTGCTCTTCTTCATACAATTGTCGTTCTTCATTCAATTTACCTTGCCAATAATCTTCACATGCTTCATACTCTTTTTGCATTTGTTCCAAACTATTTTCCAACTCTTGAATTCGTTGCACATGTGCTTTATCTTTAGTGCCATCGATTTTGAGCGTTGCTGTTGTGTCATCGCCAGTTTTCTCTGTGACATTCGCTGTTGAGTGGTGTTGTTTTTGTTGTTGTGATTTCATTGCACTGAGTTCCGTTTCAAGTTTAACAATTTGTTGGCGAAGCTCTTTAATTTCGCTCTCTTTCGGATCGGTTAGGCTTGAGAAATCCTGTGAAAACCCGGATGTTGTTGCTGTTGTCTGTGACATTGATGCCGATTGATTTAGTTCCGAATTTAATGCAAGCCAATCGCCACTTGTTTCCGATTCACCTTCACTATTATCATTATGATATTTTCGTAATTTACCAAATCGTGGACTTTCTTCGGATAATTTTGCTTTGCTGGGTGAATCGCCGCGTCGTTTTGTCGCCGAACCGCCCGATACATTTGATCCTTCACCACTGCTACTTGCATTATCCTCGCCACCACTATGATTGCTACTATCCACACGCAATTGCTTTCGACTTTTTACCTTATTCAATTCGGCCAATGTCTCTTCCAATTCAATTCCCAATTCGTCGTTGCGATCACGCAAGTTTGCATTTTCAATTTGTAATTTTGCAATTTTATCAATTAAATCGAGCGTTTGATCGGTTGCCATTATATCACGGTCACCATCGTCATCGCCACCATAACGGTCTTGCGCATCGGCTATTTCATTATTTAATTGAATATTTTTTTCCAGCAAATCGGCTATTTGCGATTGTAATGACAATTGCTCTTTTTCTAAGGCACTATTTTCACTTTGTAAGCGTAACATATTTGCTTTATGCTTTGCATCGTCCATTTCAAATTGTTTTATACGTTTTTCCAATTTTGTATTTAATGTTGACCATTGTTCGCGTTCATTGCTTAATTGTTGAGTTAATTCACGTACAATTTCAGTATGACGTTGCTCTAATTGTTTGATTTGATCGCGCGTTGATGATTCCAAATTTGCATGCCGTTCATCCACTTCTTGCGCCAATATAAAAGAACGATTATTTAATTCACGCACATTTATGTGCAATTGCTTATTTTCATAGGCCGCGTGACGCAGAGATTTTTGCAACGCATTCACCTCCAATTTGTGCAGAGCTAACGACGCCTACGAATAAAAGAGATTTTTATTAATTTTCGATCTTTTTGACATAAAAAAGCGACCGAATTGAAACCCGAGGTCACACCCCGGCCCAGACCTAAGCGCCCAACCCACTACATCTCGAGACCAAGATTTTTCCGGGCATTCGGTGTCATGAGCACATAAAACCGAATACCACTTTTTTAACTTATTTTGTTATTACCTTTTTTTATTGACAACCAACTATTTTAATTTGAAACATGAATGAGTTTGAACTGAATAATTACCCTTAACAATGGTGTAAATTCTCGATCGTTATGCACATTCCGTAGTTCTTCGTCAATGACGCTCAACAATCGTGATAGATTGATTTCTCGTTCGGTGAAACCCAAGTCTTCCATTAATGCGGATGGATTTTTAACATGTGCCATTTCCCACATATCGATTAACTGATCAGTTGGCAATGCCTCATTTGACCAATCATGCGGTTCATCTGATAAAATAATACATGAAACGTGATAGATTAGATATCTATAATGCATCAACGAGATGATATGGTGATGAACTTTAAACTAAAGAAAATGAGGATGTATTACAAATGGATGTTGATAGTGATAAGGAATGGTTACGACAAGGACAATGATGAGTTCTAAACACTAATGATTATATTATAACGAAAGCAAAATATACTATATGAGTTGTTGCTGTGCGCTAAATATTCGAAGCATTACAAAAACTAAAGTCCAAATAATAATGTTGAAAATACTTTGTCACGTACACACTATGGATTTGTATATAGTCTTTTCATTGCTGTGTGTGTATGAGCGTAGCAAAGTACCATCAGTAAAGAGGCAAGTAAAGACAAAACAAACGTCCTTCTTTTGAAAAGCAAAAAAAAAAAAAAAATCGTGATCAGTTAATTAAATAAGTGGAGGAGACTAGCAAAACGGAGCAGGTAGTAAATAAGTGTTTTTGTTCGTTTTTTTTTTCGTGGAAAATATAAGTAAGTAAACAAAAATCAAACAACAGGCAAGGAATCGAGAGAGTGAGAGGTGTATAAATGTGTGTGTATTTGTGTATTTATGTGAGATTTAGAGTTGGAGAACAAACCTGCATGCATATCAAAAATCATGTGTTCGTTTAACGGACTGATTGTGTATTCGTCGTCGACAGTGACGGCAGTTGTGGCAATGCCACCATTTTTATCTCGTGCCTTACAAACGACATCCGATTCCGAATGGCATTGTCCAATTAACGTTAAAAAATCGGTAAAAGAAATGCTTGCGTCGGCCGACAATCCCAATTTATTGTATACTTCATCGGCTAAACGATTTGCCGCCGAATTTTGTAAACCGACGCGCACAAATATCGTTTCTAATTCAATTCGATTTCGATGTGATGCGGTTGCTGTTACTGTTGACTGTCCACTATTTGCTTTAGTGTCATCGGCGATTGCATTATTTTCGAAATTGTTCCATTCATGGAACAGACTATTCGATAGATTTTCAAAGTCTAAATTATCTGAAGAAGGCGAGAGACAAACCAACGGACCAACGACGAAGACCAACAGGACAAATAAATGTTATTTGTATAGTTATCGCGCGCATTCATTTTGCATATATATTTTTTTTTCGTTTGTATAGGGAATGAAAAAAATAAGAAATACCAACAGTTAGTAGTACTAAAGTTAATTTGTTAATTTGTTTTGGTTTCTAATAAAAATGATCATGCTTTTCAAATAAAAACACCGAGTGCATCGCTAAATTTCATATTCCACTTGCGCGCGATGATTTTTCAATCCTTTAATTAAAAGTCAGAGTTTCTGGAGGTGAACCCAATAAAAATCCATATACCCTGGAGAGTGAAGTTGAAAATGACCTCTTTTATGACCAATACAGAACAGAAATATGAATTTTTATTCAGTAATAAAATTCTATAAAAACTAACAAATTTGGTGATTTCTTGAAATTCTTGACTGAGTTCCTAAACCGAAAACCATAATTCTTAACTAACGGAATGAATTTTTGACTACCCATTTTCCTCTTGCATACAACTTATTTTACAACACAGAGTCAATGGAGTAATTGGAGTCCGCCAATGAATCGAATCGATAGGAACATTCGACCGCTTAACCAGAGCTGTTAAAGGCAGCATTTTTCTTGTAAGTTTTGCTCTTTCTCGTATTCAAGTATGAGTGAAGCACCAGTGTCCACATTTTTACGGTACCAATAACAGCTCTGCGTTTGAAGAGATCAATCAAGAATGTTCGCCATTACTCTCTATTGCTCTGTATTAAAAGTTATGGCTACTATCTTTTGCATACTATGCATTTTAAAAGTGAAACTCTGACTTTTCTATTCGATGTTAAAAGAAACATGAATTGAAATTATTTCCAAACATGTCACCAAACTTAACCCCGACCGTTCATGATTTCTATACTGCATTTTAAATTTAACGCTATGTATGAAAAAATGCAGTGCTCGTAGATGCCCATAACAAAATCAAACAATAGAAAACAAAAAATTCATACTCACCAAGTGATTCGACGCTGCTCTCAAGTTGTAATTTTAAATTTTCCGTATCTTTTCTGCTAATATATGGAACATTTCGCTTTTGTGCTGGCAGCGATGCGCATCTCTTCAATTTTGTACCATTGTTGTTGGCCGATGATACAATAGATCGAACGTTTCGTCTACCATTGTCATGCATATCACCTTGAGACACAGACCTCTGAACCTAGAAATTAACGAAAAATACGAAAGTGATTTCAGCTGCAATTGTGAATGGAGAGCAAAATAAAAATCGAATCAATGATTTACTTTGTGATAGTTTTTTGTTGATTTATCGCCGGCGGTTGGAACACGTGCAAAATCATAATCTTCCTCTGAATCGGATTGTGATGATTCAAATGGAGCTACACTCTGCGGACGTGATCTTCGGCCATATTTTTTGCCGCGCACCACCAACTTTGGTGAAACCTCACGTGATTTTGCTTCATCATACATGGTGGACACATCGTCTCCATTTGGTGATGGTACTTTTTCCAATGATGCACCGTCCACGACTGTGTTAAATGAAAAAACAGTTGTTGTAAAAAAATAAATAAAAACGAGTGGAAAGGCCAACAAATTGAATGAAAAATAAATACCATGTTCGGATTGTTCATCATTGTCTTCGGTGTCCGTGCCGAGTAAATTCAATAGGCCCTCTTTAAATTCGTTGAACGAAACGCGATTATTTCGCTTTGGATCGATTAAATTGGCGACCAATTTAGCGCTGCGATCTTTTAACTCAAGCGTCGTACACAATTCCAATAATGCATTTTTATCCAATGTTCCCACCGATTGCGCATCAAAACTTTTAAACATATTATAGAGCTTTCGCTCATATGGATCGGTTGTATTTACATCCATTTTTAAACATTTACATCACCCAAATCCGTGTCGCGTCTCCGGTTATCTGCAAATAAGAGTCGAACAATATGTTAGAGAAAAAAAAAACACCGAGATAAATAAAATGTGTGAATGCAAAATTGAATAAATTTTTATTGTTTTCTTCAGTGCATTTTCAATTAGAAAGTGCACACAAGCAATGCCACAGGGTCAATAAACGGAAGAGCAAACCTGTGGTATTGCTTGAAATTATTGCAAAACAACAATTACGCGTATTGAAGTCATTCGGTTGAAATCGAAATGAATTCACATTTTCGATCAACAAATGTTTAGCACCATTTAAGGTCTCTTTCTGTCTAATTCATTGTTTGTTTATGCAGAAGAAGAAAAATGTGACACGATGATCTAAATACTCAATTTTCAGTTCGTTCAAAATCAAAATACGCATAAAACATACGAATTTGCGTATGTGTATGTGTACGCGCGCCAATTGTAATTTTATGGTTTTCTATTTGTTTCGCATCGTATGTTAATGAAATGAACGTGTGCTTGCGCGAACCGCAATTGTTTGTTGTTCCAATTGGCAATTTTATTGGCAGTCCGTGATCCGTGTAAGTGGATAGTGGATAAAAAGTAGAAAAAAAAACGATAACATGAAACCCAGCGGACAAACCTTATATCGGAATGACACCAACACAATATCGAACATTTCTGTTGGTCTTTTTTTATTATTTAAGGAGTGCTAATTGATTTTAATTTGACGTAGACGTACTTTAGTCGCGTTAAGACTATTTTATGGGGCAATTTGTACTCTTGTTGTTGCCATACACGAAACATGTTAATGCCAATCTTAGTGTGACTGACGAATTTATATGCTATTACTTAGTGTTCAACCATTTGCGTTGTAATCACATTGATTACGAGGGACAACCAACAAAAAAACGGATAAATATATGGGTATATAACGGCATTCATGCAAATCTAAATGTTATTTGATTACTTTTACTCAGATAAACGACGTCAGAAAGAGAGTTTGGAGAAAACGCAAAAGAATAAACGTCACTTTATTGCATTTCACCTTCGGCCACATCAAAAACTTTGAATAAACGGAATCACATGAATGATATGGAATCTTTTCTTTTTTTATTATTTCATTTCTCTCTCTCCCTCTCTCTCGCTCGCTCTCTTTCTATTTTCGTATCAAACTGGTGAAAAAGAGTGACAATCATTTGTTGTTCGTATGACACAATTTAACTAAACTGCATCGCATGAGTCGTCAAGCCAAACGAAATGTCAATTCGTGAGAACTGGTGTTTGTTCGTTCCCCTTTTTTGTTATTTACATGTACATTACTCGTATGTGATTGTGTAAACTCAATTAATTATCTATTATTAAATGAGGCAAATTGTAAAATTCATGTTGATCATCATTCATCTCACTATAATAATTCGTTGTTGCGAAGTGAAAATGTAGAGAAAGACACAAAAGTTGTCTATCATTTTTCTTTTGCAAATAAATAACAACAACGACGACAACTCATGTACTTTTTTTAAATTCAAACTTTTACATTCACAACACTGAATAATTTGATATTCATTCAAATGCAGTACAAATTCAACAAGACCAACCAAACGAAAATACACAGAAAGAGACAAACACGACACAGAAAAAAAACCTCATATAGATTTTGCTATAATTGTTTCCAAATAGAGAAGACGAAAAGACAAAAAAAAAAAATAGCTAATTCACCTACATAAATTATTGTGATTTTGATTTTGTTTCCTTTGCAACAGCCAGGCCACTGCACAATTTGTTTGCGCTGTATGTTTCTGAATGATTTTTCACTATTTAATTACCATTTTATTCGAATTTGATTTTCATTCTTTCGACAAATAAATTTTTGTTCACTGCACCCGAACTTCACTGACACATACACACAGTCACAATTGAATGTACTGTAAATTTTGTCAAATAAATTTGATTTGAATCGAGAATATATGCTAGTCACAACAAATAACAGAAGAAGATTGAAAAAAAAAATATTTTTTTTGTTCACGCTAATGTTTTCCTTTTGTTTTTCTTCTACTACACTCGCTTGTTCGCTCAATACAAATCGCTTCGCTTTTTGTTACTCTCTTCTTCTTCGTGTTGGCCACAATATTTTTCTGTGATGGTTTTTTACAACACCAAGGCGATGAACACTGATTCACACACATGCACATAGCATTTGTTGTTCTTGCTGTTGTCATATGCACATTGACTTAAGGGCATTCAGTGTGTGTGGTTAGTGCTACATTGCCTATGTTATAAACGATGTGTGTATATCATTTTTACGTAAACATTTGTGTAACAGTATGCGTGTGTATCGATGATGACACGACAATGACATTTCAGTTGTGTCAAAATGCATGTTCGATGTTTCGACACTAGGTGGCAGCAATGAGTCGATGACAATGAAATCAAAATAAAATGTACACAAATTCATATTCTTATATTGAACGACTATGTCGAGGAGAAAACCGCGATTCGAATTAATTTTAATTCTAGATTTGTTTCTAAGTCGTCGACAAAATTGCCATATCGTATTTAAATAAATTTCACTTCGTATTTAAAATTCCAATTGGAAAAATGTATGATGAGGAAAGAAAAACCTTTCAACATTCAACAATACCGTTATTGAAAAACAAACCAATTCAATATTATACAGAGTGTATGTGTTTTTTTCCATCTTGCGTTGGCATTGCGATATAGTGAAAGATTGGGATCGATATCGCATACTCAAGATCAAACATGAGCTCATCATTCTAAGTTTCTCTCCCGCTCTCTCTTTTACGTCGATTACTATCCCATTCTTCCTTATTCGGGGTACTTTATCAAGAAAAAAAGAAGAATTTCGAAACCATACAAAATCGATGTTTAATCACTCGTTGAGGCCTGATAAGATGAATACCAACAGATAAGTTCATTCTATGGACTTTCCAAATTGAACAAAAAAAAAACAACAACAACATGAACCAGACTGAAGCTCTCCGCTCCACACACAACAACAACAATAAATACCATACACATATTCAACTTGCAATATGAATGCGAACGCGAGTCGAGCGGCGCTCACAAGTGTTATCAGTAGATGAAACAGAGAAAAAAATGTGGTGGTGCTGTTGTTGTTTTTATTATTGTCGTTCATATTCATTCTTCTGGTTCTGGTGTGGATTAAATGTGTATTGTTTACTCTCGGTAAATTATTCATTGATATGCGGTATGCAATGTTGTATGAATGAGATAGTGAAATCAAATGGTCCAACCGATTGAGATAGCGACACACATAATAATCATACATGGACAATTATGAAAATTGTAGCCAGACATTGAAAGAGAAACGCACACATTTTTAACTAACTAATCGTGTTTTTACGACATTTACAACATTAAAAACCATATATATACACACACACACAATAATTGCGCGTATGTTCAATATATTTTAATTTCAATGTGTGTGCAGGCGCGCACGTATAACGGGTGGCACAAGAAAGTGCGAGCGAGACATTTCAGTGCACGATCTTCGCTTGAAATGGTTTTCGACGCAATTTGCAAAAACGAGATACAATGACAACATGCACACACTGTTATTTCTCGTTCTCTTTCTTTGGCGCTTTCAATCTCTTTCTCTCGTTTTCGCTCCTTTAACGCGTAATGAACGACTTGACTAAAACAGCGCGCGCGTACGATTACAGAGCACTTAGAGTCAAAGTTAAAAACGATAAAAAAACACAGTAAGAAACACATGAATGTGACAACACATAACAATGGCACAAAATTGAAACAACGAAAACAAAGAAAAAAAACAATATACACATATATGGATTTAAGTCTTGCGATCGAATGAGCGAATGGCCGTAGATATATGTCGGTAAATGCGCGAAAAAGAGCGAGCGAATGGAATCGCGCGTTCGGTGTTGATCGCCTATGTAAGTATATTGCCGATTAACAATGTATGGGCAAAACTCGTTGTACGAATCAAAATAATAAATTTAAGCGAGAGAAGAAGAAAAAAAAGCAGCAACAGCAGCGCACGCGGTGCATGAAGAAAAGAAACAGAGAGCGAATAAAAAAAAGAAGCAAAAGCGAAAAAAAACACAAATAAAAGAAGACGACGACGACGGCTACGACGACGACGACAGAGGATGACGACAACCGATCGCGCGAAAACGAGACAGCGCAACCAAATCAGCGGACTTAAACATGAGAATAAAATAAAAATACAAAATTAATGAAAATCTTCCGTCAGTCCTAACTCAATGATCGTGCAAATACTTGCAACGCGCAGCGCCGAAATACAACACACACTGTTTTCAAAAGACACACGAAAAACACACGAGAGCGGATAACAACGTTGTTTCGATTCAGTTTTTTAGTTCGGTTTTTTTTTTGCTCATTGCTTTGCTGTTACTGTTTTGTTGTTTCTGTGTTTCTTTTTTTTCGGCTCAATTACTGGTGGTGAATCTTTTCGGTTACAATATTTTGTTGTTTTTTTTTTTGCTGCTACTGCTGCTCAAAATCCAGAGTTCAGAGTAACAAAAAAAAAAGAGAAAGAGAGATAAAGAGAGACAATTTTCGGTATTTGTTGATTTTCTTTCGATCGGTTGTTATTTAATTTGACACAAAATAATGTAAAATATTATAATAATTGAAAGCAATAATCATACACGCACAATTTGAAAGAAATCGGAGACCAAAATCAGCGAACGAAAAAGAAGAAGACGACAAACGACAACGAATGAAATAATAAGAAAAAAAAAACAAATCAAAACACAACTGAGATAGTATCGAAAAGAGCCAAATGTGTGAGTACAATTTATATATCACAAGGAAGGCGCAAATTTAGTCAATCTGTATAGTTTTTTTAATATTTCTCTCTTTATGCCATCTGGGTTCAAAATTCATTCTTCTGTATGTAAAGAGCTGAGCAGTGTTGTTGTTTTTCTCTTCTAATTATTGTTATTGTCGTCTGTTTTGTTACATTTGCTCTTCTGTTGTCGCCACTTTTTATTTCGCTCCTCTCGCGATTCATTCCATACGCGAGAATCCGAGCATAATTTTATGTGTGTGTGTTTTTTTTTGTTCGTTCATATTATTATTGTTATTATCAGTACGGCTTCGGTTGTCATTGCATTAAGTTTGGTGGTGATTTGTGCTATTCCGTTGATCGAGCGTGTTTCGGTGTTTTGAATTTATTACGACACATACAATCACAACAACATTTCTTTTTTTTATTTTGTATTCATTCTGTTTCGTATTTTTGATAGCTGGAAAACGATCAGCACCATACATTACAGATGGATAAGAACAAGAGAGTGTGTGTGAGAGAAAAGCAGCAAAAAAAATATATGACAAAATTTTAACAAAAATCCAACAGAATTTACATAAAAATGATTTTTAATTTATTTTAAAGCCAAACTCAACCAACTGTTGACCGAATAAATATGACATCAACAATAAATATGCATGTGCGTGTGCTGTGCGTACATACGATGCTGCTATAATTGTGTTGATAAAAAAAGACGAAACAAGGCGCAAAAAAAAACGAAAAAAAAATTGAAAAGAAGAGAACTTTGAATATATCGCATGCTTTTACGGTTGTGCATTAACGGAAACAACGAAAAAAATACGCGAATTTAATTTTGGTGACGTGCATATTTTTGTTTACTGCGATTAAAAGAGAAACAGAGGAAGAGAATAACAACGATCCAATAATTTATATATATATTTGACTTGATCCTGATATCCATCGCATTGGATTTGGGTGTATGTTTGTGTGTGTGTATATATATGTGTTTTAATTTAAAAAAAAAAAAATATTTTTTGATTGTTTACCTTTCGGACGAATGTGACAGTTGTAAATAGACACAAAACCCGAACGTCATTTGAAGTGCATTGGAACTCTGAATTATTTACAAAATAACCGCAACAATAAAAAAAGACGAACGATCAGGTAAGTAAACACGATGCGTATTTCAATTTCTTGTTCTTTCCAAACGAAACGATGCTTTTTTTTCATCAAATATGCAAATGAAGTGAACATTCAAGATAGAGTTTGTTTGAATTCGATTCTGAAAGCATTGCATTGATGTTATGCCATATAGTATGTGTATGTGTATCTGTATGGAAAACTACCGAAAGCTGTAGCCATTCATAATAATCATTTGATCAGTGATCATGCTGTCATGTTCGAATGGATTCGGTGTTTGAATTGAAATTAATTTTCAGACTCAATGGGAATGACGAGCATGTGAGTAAATGTGTACGATAGTACAAACGGCAGCAACGACGGCGACAACACCATTACTAAAAAAATACGCAAAAACATCAAATGCCGACAACAACAACAAAAAAAAAATTACATATTTGAAGAAAGTCGTACACACAATGATGATTATACCAATCAGTTAATGTGGTGCGCATTGTAACGCAATTACAAATCAACATTGAAAGAAAGGAACATATAAAAAAATAACACAAATTATGTGACAAAATGCGGCATCAAATAACTCGCACCAATTGTGTATGCACATCATTTCTGTGTGTACGCAGCACACACTCCAGCACACATACGAGTACGAGAGACAAAGATCGCTGAGCCAAGTTCGGAGTTCGATGTGTGTGCAATTTATCAATTGACACAGTATAAAACGGCTGCCGCCAATTTCTCGTAGTAAAAAAAAAAACTATAAATTTATATGAGCGAATCACAAGCCGAAATGTCATCTATACATTTCAAAAACAAAATGCTCTGTAATTTTTTTTCTTCCGTCGAGTTCAAAGCAGCAACAAGTCGATGACGAGATCATGATGTTTCATCTCTGGTTCTCAATGTGTTCCGCATCTTTTTCTTTGATCCGCACAAAACCGAATCGAAAAGGGGTTAAAAATGTTACGAACAAACTTATTACATTTTCGTTGCAACCAAGTTGGCATTTTGTTTTTCGCTTTTTTTTCGATTTGTTCATGGTCCATGCCGTGACGATTGGTGAGAACTTTGGCTTTGTATGGGTTCATGCCGCATTTTTATGCAAGTGTGAATTTATCGCATGCCCTCATATCATCATCATGATTGCGCATTTGAAAACGCGCGCGTGCTCGTGCTCTATAGAAGCCGGCACAGCAGCAGCAACAACAACACAGGCAATGGCGCACTCAAAACGGACAGATTTAAATCAAACAACGCAAGCAATAAAACTCATTTAATGTTTTCGTTAAAATTCTTCGCGCCAAATTATTCGGATTCCATTCGTTGAATGTTTCAAATGATGGAATAAGTTTTTGTTTCTCCTTTTTTTAATTCATTTTCTTTCGTTTGCGTTATCTTATATCGAGCACTGTTTCGGGGGAAGAGCACACATATACAACGACTTTTCAAATACAAATTCGTTACACATTCTTATGCATATTAACACGTCATATTATCGGGATTAGCGTAACTTTTTTCAAACGAATATTTTTGATTTTGTTTTAAACATGAATGTTGACTTCATCATTTTGGATTTGAATTTGAAAGTGTTATTGAAAAAAAAAACCGATAGAAGCTTTTTGTTCGAATTCGAGCGCAATTAACTAGTGGTTTCATTTGGTGATTCCTTTTATCATTCATATGTAAGTCCTTAATGCTGACACACGGTAGTGCACGTCATACACACGCGTAAATAAACTATATAGTATTTTATTCGTTTGATGAACATCAAGCACGCCAAATGATTTATCACTTTCCATATTGATGGAAACGGTCGCTTTCAAAACGGCGACACATTCTCTTTCTAAACCATTCGACTTCATTTTCGAAATTAAGAGAGCGGAGGACGGAGAGGAAAAGTGTGTGTGTGTGTGATGAGCGCCAAGAAAAAGCTTCCAACTACATGGAACTCTTCTTGGTTGCAATAGGAATAAAAAACAACATATTCAAGCATTCAAGCAACAACAACAATAACAACATGTGGTATGCGTATGCGCAATAGAAGCTCTTTTTAAAAAGGGAAAATAATGCTGAAAAAAATGTATACATGACAATATATCGAATAGGAAAAAAAGTAAGAAGAGGAAGACGAACTGAGAGAAGAAAGTTTAGTTAAATTGTGGCGAAACGTTTTTGAATTTCAGTACTTGACGAAGCCCAACAAATTTGTTTTTTGTTGAAATCTCTTTCTCTCGTGCTAGCTTTTGATAATACACAGTGTTCAAGAGAAGAAAACGAGATAAAACAGAGTATCCGAAGGAAATAAAACACAAATCCTCGTCGTCGTTGACGACATTTCCATTTTGTTCGTTTTTCAATTGTTCGGTTTATCATTTTATTTTGGTGGACGAAACAAACTGGCCCAGCATTTTCAGTTCTTCTTCATTTTAAGTCGCGTTTGTTTGAATCGCCACTTTAAAGCGTGCCATTGACTATTTTGGCAAGTGATAAATCAAGTTGAAGAGAAGGACGAATCGAACACAACTCAAAGGTATCGAGAATCGTTTCGATTGTATATTCTTGTTTATTGGAACTTCAAGCCTTAACAACAATAGTAAAAATGAAAACAATTTAAAAATTGAAGAACAGAGATAGAAACGCATTAGATAAAACAAAGGTACACATTTACGTTTAAGTTTTGCGTGTTTTAATATATTATTCGGTGATTGGATTGTGTAGTGTGTGTTTATGTGTGACATTGGCGCTTTTCGGATTGAGAGAGGTAAGAAATCAATGGACTTTAACGCAATTTCATGATATTTAATGGCTATAATCATGCATTATTGTTCTTTCTTCTTTTGTCGTCGTTGCCGTCGTCGTCGTTAATCCATTTCGAATAGAAAGAATTGGATCTTATATCGTTTGTCTATGACGTTCGGTGTACATGACGACGATATTGAATGAAATATATGATTTCGTTTTGTGTAGGGGGCTTGAACAACTCTGTCTTACTCTCTTTCTCTGTCTCTATCTCAATTTACATCATGCATTTTTCACATTACAAAATTTCGCACAAAAGAGATGCAATAACAGAATATGTATCAAAGATTTCTTCTGTTTTCAATTAAATAAGTGTGTATTTGATTTTCGTCGATTGAAATTAGCTTTTAATGCACAGTTCCTTACTTTTTATAAAATCGCAATTGTTTTGTTAACAACCATAAAGAAAAATAAATACATCCATCGTGAATACCGATTTCGATTTGAATAAATCAATAAAACGACCGAATCGCATTCGAGCAGTATTTTTATTGTGTGTGATTATGTTTATATATTTTAGAAAATTTATGCTCACATTTGGTGGTGGCAAAAAAAAAAATGTTAAAATGAAACGAAAAATCGAGCCAATCTAGAGAGAAAAATAAATAATAAGAACGTCACATTTAGTTTGCATCCGTGATATTCATTTTTCATGTACTTGTTGCTTGTTTTGTCAGTTGCTCAGGCGAACTGAGACATGAACACACCAGCGATTGGGTATGTTATGTGTACGTGTGCGTGCTCCATACATATAAAAGCATAAGCACACGCAAACAACTGGGGTTTCTTTTTCACTGGATCCATTTCGGTGGCGATGTGTACATGCCAACAACATTTCGTGACTGTTAATGTTGTATTGTGTAAGTCATACTCACAACAGACTTAATCAGCGTGTGAGTGTGTTCAATGAAAGAGCGCTTTATTCCACTCGTTTGTCATTTTATTCCTGTTTGTTGTATATTCTATTGACAGACAGTTATCGCTTCATTGTATGTAGACCGAGCACTTTTTTATTAGTTCATCGTTGCTCTTGCATTAAGCTACTTGTCGTTATGCTCTTTGAATGCATTTTCCATTCAAAATCATCAATTTCATTCATTTAAAATGCCAAATGCGAAGAAAGTTCGAGTCTTCAGTGGTACGGTATATAATACATATGTTTTTTGAAATGTATACTTTACATTCGGAAATGAACCGTTTATGATGAGCTAATGTCACTGTGCTGGTTGTGCGAATGGATTTGAAGAGCCATGAAAAAGAATGACTAAAATTGTCAACGCCAAAAAAAATGAGAAACAGCAAAACAAAATCAAAAAAAACTTCAATTCAGTGGGCATTTAATTCAATTTTTTTGTCCTGCTCTCTGTAGACATAAAACAGATGAATAAGAAGAGTGTGCAAGCGAGCGAGCACGAGGAGGAATATATTTCAACAGCATTTGTGTATACTAAGACTGGAAACATTGTTTAGCCAATCTGTTTTCTGTGACAATGTGTTTGTGTATGTATATAATTTTTTTTTCAAGGTCGCTCGCTTGCTTTACGACACGATAATTACATGTATACATAAAAAAGCAAATAAATGGCGGCACAAACTTAAAGAGAGAAGAGCAAAACAAACGAACGTTTGCTTGCAAAATACAATACGATTGGCGATGGTTGAGTTGGAGCGAACGAGAAAGAGTGAAATACACAAAACCGTATGGAGTGTGTAAAAAAATGATGATGATATCGACAGTGCCTGTACCAGCAAGCGAATGAAGAAGGCAAATATTACAGCGGAATGAAATACGATTCGAATCGATGAAAAATAAAACATTTTATGAGAATCTTGTTGTTGTTTTTTTACATTCGATTCAATACATATAATATACACAATATATTTGTGCAATTTTTATTTCTGATGCCGCTTCTCTGCTGTTATTCTCCGTGTTTTTTTCCCTTTTGCTTCATTTTATTTTATATTTTTATTTATCATGCAAAGACTTGTTCGACACTTCGTGTTTTTGTTATTATTCATGTAAATGCGCTCTCTTCACTCATAGCCATTTATTTACTTTTTACTTTTAATTTTCTCTGTAACTCTCTCTCTCTCTCTCTCTCTCTCTCTCTCTCTTTCTATCTATCTCCATGTCACAAACACATTTGCTCTTTCGCACTACTGCCACAGCTACTCCCAGATTTCGTGTTCGTAAATATGTCTATGAAAGAGTTACGCTTCACATT